GACTACCTAGTTCTCCTAACGCTCGTATTAGCAATTCAAATACCAAAGAGACTCTGAAATTCACATAGATGGTAAGTATTGTGTGTTTCACAGATGGATAACTTGATAAGGAAGCAAGAAGGCTGACTCAATTTAAAAAGTATAGTGCGTCCAAATGCCGGACGCAGTTATTTGGAGGTTTTAAAGCCCCACATCGGCTGTTATCACGGCCCCTAATATAACCCAACCTATGGGTTAAAAGGGGTTTTTAGTACCTGTCCTCATGTGATCATTATCCGAATGGTGGCACTTTGTGTCACCGGGTGTTTATCGCTGGGTGTGATGTCCCGATGGGGTTAAACGCCATCATCATTATCATCATCTGACGAAATAATATATCTGCTTTCACCACTGAACAACCACAGTAGCGCATTAGCCAGTATGACGGTTTTAGGTATGTATCCCTACTAGGCAGAGTTTTACAAACTGATCTGAGCTCGTAGGTCAACCCAGCCTAATATGTGTAGCACAAAACCTTCTGGTTGGTAAAGACACTGTGTGACGTTGACTACACCACTCATCGATAGTCGATTAATCTTTAACGGTGCAAATCTAGCGGTACTTATAACGAATTTGCCCGCACGGCGAGAGTTCCTTTCCCTCCCATACTTGTTGCGACCGGTGCCAGGGCCTTCCCTATGTTGTGAGTGTGTATGTATTCCTTATTTTCAACGGTTTAACCATTGTCACTTTCCGCGCTTTGTCTAGGCTCACTTGCATTATCAGTTCCACAGTGTGCTATTTGCCCGACGGTTTGCGAGTATCGAAACTGGGATGTTTTTGTATTTCTACTTAGATTGTCAGTGGCTTCGCACCGCTACAGAACGTAGAAATACAAAATCATCCCAGTTTCGCCAATCACAAACAGTCACGCCTTTGGCGCTTTCCCCTTGAAGTTCTTACTTATACACGGGTTGCTGAGGCTGCCTAAAAGAGACTCACAACAGCACAAACCCCTCCCACCGCAAACATTATATACAGCGAGCGAACGCTAAGATAAGAATAAACTCACAGGGGAGCAAGTACAGCGGGGATCTACCAGTCATCAGTAGAAATTATACTCTGTCGACACACGTTTCGGCCCACGATTCCTAAACGTATTCGGAGGTGGGCCCACCTGAGTTCATGAAGCTCAGGGCTGGTCCCCGCTGCACGGATTTACCGGATGGTGTTATACTTTCGGCCAGAGACAAGACGACTTGGTGGTTTCGAAGGAGGTACTGTGAGATAAGAAGCGCCGCGACAGCGTAATTAAAACAGTCCGCATGCCTGGACGACCGAGCGACAAGCTTATTTTGGTTTACCGGACACATGTTGGACTTTTATTAGCAGTTGGCAGAGGAACACTGGCAGACAATTCGTACACGATGGACTTTTCAAAGGGATGAGAAACTCTTTTCCACTAGATACCCGGACCAGCTCACGCTAAAAGAAAGCATCTCATAAAACCCCGAAAACATATGATAGGCCGTGAGACCCGCCGCGGCATGAATGGGAGGGGAAGAAATTCGCCGTTCGGGCAAGTTCGTGATAAGTTCCTATCTAGCAAAATATGCCCCTTGCGTATAAAGAGTCCTTCATTTTACTGTAATTTGTCCATCGATCAAATGCGCGAACTCGTCAACCCGAAAACAAAAGGTCACTAGTATGCTACCGTAATCATGCCTAATTTGTGTTATACATTTTAGACGAGGTCGGTAACCATATCAAAAAAAAAAAAAAAAAAGATCACAACAGGTGAGATGAGATATCGGAGACGAGCTAACAGCTTAGTGTAGAGAATCATACACTGATATGTGAGAAATGGTAGGAGCAATAATATTCATCGGTTACAAGGAGAAACTGATGCCTTAGTGATTCTGACGTCTAATAAGAATGGACGTTTGAAGAGCTATCCTTGTAGGAATGCAGTTCTAGTATAAAAAGATGAAAAGCACAAGAGTACGGGTAGAAGGGTCTACAACACGAACGCATTTCAAGCTCATATTAGCCATACAGCTTGCACTAGAGCATACATCGTAGCTTTGCAGAAGGTTGCCCATGACAAGCTGAACCAGCACAAGGAAAAGATCTGGCGGCTCAGTGGCCGATAGACACAACAAAACAATGATTATTTGTTTTAATTTTAGTAGTACTAAAGTGACAGATCCTTTTCACACAAATGGCGCACGGGACACATGGTTCTAGATCTATTTAATTTGATAGGCATTGAAGTCAATCAACATCGCACCTTCACCCTCCTTACTTCCCAGGGTAATTCATAGAACCCATTTTAGGCTTGGTTAGATTGAAATGTTTGTTTTATTGAAACCTAAAATAATAATCTTCAAGAGGTTTCGGTTGTGTCAAGGATTACACTAACGCATTCCTTATTTATGTATTTTTACAACCTTTCTGCAATGGAAACCATGGTAGGAAAACTTAAAAATTTAGTCAGACATTAAAAAATATAAATGGTGAATATCTGTCATACACCCATACACCTCAACAACAATGGTTAACAATAATGATATGCTGTAGATTTTTTTTTTTTTTTTGGGAAAAAAAAAGGGGGGGGGGGTCTAATATGATAGCTAATAATTATGCGTTTTAATTTTAATTTTGCACTTATACTTTTCTTAGGCTTTTGATCACTTATTCTTCCTTGTGTGGGTTCCGGGGCATCATTGTTGTGTATGGGGGGTGGGGGGGGGGGGGAGGTGTTCCTTATAAACATGTCATAATATTTGACTAATTGGGGAGAGGGGGGGGGGGGGCTCTAAGTCAGAGTGGATCTGCCTGAGAGGCAATGAACCAGCTGTCTGCACACAAATAATACGGATTTGTCAAATTCATGTGCAGTCAAAACTTGAGTTCTGGACTAAGACTAAAGCCCAGAAGTGGACAAACAACCAGAGCTTTCGAAAAGGCGTTTACAGCCGGTAAACGCGGAAAAGAAGAGGATCAGGTTGTTCGTAGTTTGTGATATTTGTGCTGTTACATCATTAAAAGACAAAAGACACGTTTTTACATTTTTGATGTCGTCATCATCATCAGGTGTCTTGCCGACTGGCGTGGGCGATCATGCCTCTCCACAATCTGCGATCTCCTGCAGCATGTATCAGTTCGTGTGCCGACACATCTCCATGCCATGCAACAAGACTGTCAAGAATCTTCTCTCATTGTCTTCCTCTATACCTCCTTCCACATATCTTTCCAGCAGTCTGCTCCTTTTCTAGTTTTTGCTCCAACTGAGTTGCTCCCGAATCTTCTTGAAATCAAAATATAATCAACCTGATTGCGGACATTATTGCCAGAACTTTTCCAAGTCCACAATCTTCGAGTATGGTGTTTAAACCAGGTGTTACCTATTATCATACTGTGCGACTCAGCCCATGCTATTAATCTGCCATCTCTCACATTCACAGTTTAATATGGTAACATATTATCAATAATGGCTTTGGGTGCTTAGGCGTTGCGAGTTCGACTCGCTATTCCAACGCACTGCGATCGAAACCCACTGCTAGCTGCATGGGTTTTTATCATGGTATGGGGCGTCGCAGGTCGATCCAGCCTAAAATGGGTACCAGGATGGCTGTCCTGGGGAAGTAAAGACTGCCGCTGACTGCTGACCACATTACCCTCCTAGTGCCGATTGGTCTGTAAGAATATGTGATGCTTCTCTGAAATGACCGATGCGCCTTAAGGCGTGAAATGGGATCTTAAATTACCTATAAATGTTGGTGATGGTTTCCAAAGTCCCGAAGACTACATACATAACACTTTGTAACTGTGCAGCTTAATAATAGTACTAATTACCTTTTACTCCAATGCCTACGATTTTAATTCGCTGTTAATTGGTATTGTTCTGTTTAGATAGTATGACGCTACGATGATACCACTGATAGAAGGCAAACACATTAGATGCGATAGTATACTGACTAGACACTTGCCTGCAACTCACTTTTCTGCTTCAAAACGGCATCAGGGGCTTTTTCTTATGAACGGCCTGAGTTTCCTGGTCGACCCAGCCAAAAATGAGTACCAGAAAATATCTTGGGAAATAAAGGTAGCTAGCATGATGGTGGCCTTCTTACATATCGAATTGGGTTGATCTATTGAAAAATTTAGTCTTGCGTCATATTCTCAATGCGTCAGTGACATTGTAATGATCTTGGGTTTTTTCCCTTAACAACATCAGTAATGGATAATGGTTAAGTATGCATCAAAAGGAAACGAACTGTTGTTTTTAAAACAATCCTTTGCGCGCATTCAGGCTTGTTAGTAATCTATTAATAGTCCTGTATATTATAAATAAATCAGCACTTGATGGTTGATGTGATCAACATAACGTCGGCCACCTTTACTTCCCATGCCCTTACCTGGTGCCCATTTGAGGCTGTGCCGAGCTGGTAGCAAAAGTAATTTTATGAAAGAAACGCCCGGTTCCGTTCGGATTTGAACCCACTACCCTAGGATCCGCAGGTAAGCGTGTAGCCGCGACACCACGACGGCTCCCGGCAATGGATAATAGTTAAATATGTAACATAAGGAGACGAATTGCGGTTATTAAACGAGAGCGTATTGGTGTCTTTCACTAGCGACAACATATGGTCTGTCATTGTTTACCCATAATAAAAAGAGGGAAAAAGTGAGAAAAGAAAATATAGTGCACTGAACAAACATAAAGGGAAACAAAATGGTGCAACTATCACCTTACAAATATTGTAACTCTGACAATCCAGCAACAAAACAGAGTGCACAATATTTTAAAACAGAAGGTCACAATTTGCACGATAGACATGTTTTACCTGTTGCATGTTCTAAAGTAGGAATGACACTAACAAATGCAACAGATACACACTTCACACAGGTCACATCTAAGAAAAACACTAATCTTATGGGACGACAACTGTATCAAAGCGGACATAGTGAATAATTTATAGTAGTGGTTTGTGCAGCTATGTGCAAGTGCAACTTACCTTAGCCATATCCACTAGTGTGCTTTGATTCTCTGTAAGCTTCCGCTGGTCCATCTTTACACTTCGTAAACTGAAAAAAAAAAAAAAAAGAAATGTGTTAGGACTTCAAGTACTATTCAACTCGCCATTGGGTTTTCTGTTTTCCTTCGAAGTCAGAGTATATCTACCTGACATGCATAGAAATAAGTCAGCTCTGTAAATATGATGTGCCCGCAAAACTCAAGTTCTGGATCAAGACTAAAGTTCAGATGTGGACGAACAACAAGAACTGTCCCTTGGGGGTTTTACAGTCGGTGAACACGAAGAAGAATCAGAACATACGGATCTTGGCAAGTTCAAGGGTTACAGTTACTTTTGCATTTGGCGGCTGTACACTTCTGCAGAAAGTCCTGTTATGTCGCCGATATCTAGACTGTGTTCTTGTCCGGGGACTTCAGTGTCATTTGCACATCCGTTTTCCTAATGTGCGTATTGTTTGCAGACCAGTGGATCCTTGCACTCTAATCCAGTTTACTTTCTCCAGGTCACCTACAGAGAACCCATTTCTAAGCTGCTCAGGTAGGGGTGTAGCAAGGACTTGATCAATACAATACAAGCAACTGTCCTGGTGCCACGCTGTAGGTGTTGGTGTATCCCTACTTTCTGGATAGTATACCGTTCTCACACTGTTCTACCAGAGAAAGTTGTTATAATAATCCATTCTACATTAGAGAGTCTGAGATTCTTCTGCCACACAGAATATATTTGAAAAATATTTTACAGTGAGATTATTTTACCACAGAATATACCTCTTTGGACGAAACAGTGAAAGTAATCAATGTGTAAAATCTTCTTAAAGTGCATGCCGTGTGGCGCTGGTAATCATGTAGATCTTTAACATTATGTCTCATGTACTTTCAATCAGCTCTGATAAAGACGATCTTCTATGCCATGAAGTTAGAGTGTGCGCAGCATCTTCCACTCCAAATCTTCCCCCTCCAACTACAGTAGAGCCTCGCTTAACGAGCACCTCTCATAACGAGTAATTCGCATAACGAGCAAAACAAATTGCAAAAAAAAAAAAATGACTTGCTTAACGAGCGACGTTTCGCATAACGAGTGGCGAGAAGAGGGGAAGTTCTGAATTGTGTGCATGTTACATCAGTCTGTGTTTAGTACTCGTTCCAGTAACATCGTAGTGTCGCTGGTGATCACACATTTTCTCAAGCTTGTGTTACATTGTGATATATGTACATGAATCCTTCAGGCCTACAAGATGACCTGATGTTGCATTTTGGAAGGTCAGGTTTCTTTGTAATTACCATTACTTCTGTTTTTTTTTTTTTTTTTTTTTTTTGCTGTTCAAAGACCATTGTTCTCACTTTCAGTTACAATTATTCCATGCATTTCTTCCAATTGTGTCTCATTTTCAGCAATCAAAACTATATCGTCAGCATAAAGCAGGCTGTTAAAAATATGCCCAATAACCGATGTTCCTGTCATACCTTTCATCGATCTAATTATTATTTCACTGTACAAATTGAATAAATCGGGTAATAGTAAACATCCCTGCCAAAATCCCTGCTCATGCTTTATAAAGTTTTAACTTGGTTGTTCATCCTTGTGACTGCTTCTTGTTGCCAGTAAATGTATTCTAATTATTCTCAGACCTTTACTATCAATGTTTAAGGTTTCCAAAATTCTGATAATTTCTTCATGTTTCACTTCATCAAAAGCTTTAGGATAATCAATAAAGCACTAATACAAACCTCTATTCATGTCAATCATTCTTTCTGAAAGTGATATAAAAGATGAATAGGGCGCTATTTGTGCTTTTACCTCCAACAAAACCACACTGATCTTCTCCAATTTATGGTTTAATTTTGCACCTTATTCTTCTCATGATAATTCTCATTAATATTGTATTTACATAACTCATTAAACTAATTGTTTGATGTTCTACATATTCCACTGCACCAGACGTTTTTCTAAAGGTAAGAAAAGAGATTTCAAAAAGATCATCAGGTACGTGTCCACTGTTGTAAGTATCATTGAAAAATGTCAAGACTTCTCAACTCGGTTCTTCAATCCAGATGTTATCTGGCCCTGGCGGTTTTCATTTCTGCATGTGGTTTATAGTATCTGCCACTTCCGTGTTCAGCGTTGACCGCACTTCCCAATACTCCTGATTCTCTGTGTCTGGTCTGCTTTTATCATCCTATAGCTCTTTTATAAACTACTTCCATCTTTCAATTACCATTTCTTTATCCATTATTATTTCACTTTGTGTTTTTAAGCGACTTCTTGATATACATTTTCTAAAACCTGACCGTTTTGTATTCTAGTATACATTTCGCATGTGTTCTCTCTTTGTTCTTCAATTTCGCTGTACTTATTATTTAGCCAAACTTCTTTCGCTGCATTATATTTATGTACAATGTCTCTTATGTATCCTTTTATATTCATCTCCGTAGTTTTTATTATTTCCTCTAATTTCCATCAGATGTAAAATTTCCTCACCCACCAATTCTTTGCTGTCTTTTTCACTTCTGGTAATATTTCTCTGTATGTCTGTTCTAATGACTCTTTTAGCATTTGCCATTGTTCATCTATACTGCTTATCTTTTCAACAGCTTGTGTCTGAATAGAAATGGTGTATCTCTTACTCATTTCTTGGTCTGATTCAGGCATTGACAAATCTAACATTGGCAGTTCTTGGACCCCTTTTACTGCTGCTGCTACTACTAACACCACTACCCTTGCTTCTGGTGGATACACCAGCTGCTACTACTAACACCACTACCCTTGCTTCTGGTGGATACTACCGCTACTGCTACTTCTGCCACCACTACCATTGCCTCTGGTGGATACACCAGCTGCTGCTACTTCTACCACCACTACCATTGCTTCTGGTGGATACAAAGCTGCTGCTACTTCTACCACCACTACCATTGCTTCTGGTGGATACTACCGCTACTGCTACTTCTACCACCACTACCATTGCTTCTGGTGGATACTACCGCTACTGCTACTTCTACCACCACTACCATTGCTTCTGGTGGATACTACCGCTACTGCTACTTCTACCACCACTACCATTGCTTCTGGTGGATACTACCGCTGCTGCTACTTCTACCACCACCACCCTTGCTTCTGGTGGATACTATAGCTGCTGCTACTTCTGCCACCACTACCATTGCCTCTGGTGGATACACCAGCTGCTGCTACTTCTACCACCACTACCCTTGCTTCTGGTGGATACTACCGCTGCTGCTACTTCTACCACCACCACCATTGCTTCTGGTGGATACTACCGCTGCTGCTACTTCTGCCACCACTACCATTGCCTCTGGTGGATACACCAGCTGCTGCTACTTCTACCACCACTACCATTGCTTCTGGTGGATACTACCGCTGCTGCTACTTCTGCCACAGCTACCATTGCCTCTGGTGGATACTACCGCTGCTGCTACTTCTGCCACCACTACCATTGACTCTGGTGGATACTACCGCTGCTGCTACTTCTACCACCACTACCATTGACTCTGGTGGATACTACTGCTGCTGCTACTTCTACCACCACTACCATTGCTTCTGGTGGATACTACCGCTGCTGCTACTTCTACCACCACTACCATTGCATTTGGTGTATACAACAGCTGCTGCTACTTCTATCACCACTACTATTGCTTCTGGTGGATACTACCGCTGCTGCTACTTCTGCCACAACTACCATTGCTTCTAGTGGATACACCAGCTGCTGCTACTTCTACCACCACTACCATTGCTTCTGGTGGATACTACCGCTGCTGCTACTTCTGCCACAACTACCATTGCCTCTGGTGGATACTACCGCTGCTGCTACTTCTGCCACAACTACCATTGCTTCTGGTGGATACACCAGCTGCTGCTACTTCTACCACCACTACCATTGCTTCTGGTGGATACACCAGCTGCTGCTACTTCTACCACCACTACCATTGCTTCTGGTGGATACACCAGCTGCTGCTACTTCTACCACCACTACCATTGCTTCTGGTGGATACACCAGCTGCTGCTACCTCTACCACCACTACCATTGCTTCTGGTGGATAGTACCGCTGCTGCTACTTCTGCCACAACTACCATTGCCTCTGGTGGATACTACCGCTGCTGCTACTTCTGCCACCACTACCATTGACTCTGGTGGATACTACCGCTGCTGCTACTTCTACCACCACTACCATTGACTCTGGTGGATACTACTGCTGCTGCTACTTCTACCACCACTACCATTGCTTCTGGTGGATACTACCGCTGCTGCTACTTCTACCACCACTACCATTGCCTTTGGTGTATACAACAGCTGCTGCTACTTCTATCACCACTACTATTGCTTCTGGTGGATACTACCGCTGCTGCTACTTCTGCCACAACTACCATTGCTTCTAGTGGATACACCAGCTGCTGCTACTTCTACCACCACTACCATTGCTTCTGGTGGATACTACCGCTGCTGCTACTTCTGCCACAACTACCATTGCCTCTGGTGGATACTACCGCTGCTGCTACTTCTGCCACAACTACTATTGCTTCTGGTGGATACACCAGCTGCTGCTACTTCTACCACCACTACCATTGCTTCTGGTGGATACACCAGCTGCTGCTACTTCTACCACCACTACCATTGCTTCTGGTGGATACACCAGCTGCTGCTACTTCTACCACCACTACCATTGCCTCTGGTGGATACTACTGCTGCTGCTACCTCTACCACCACTACCATTGCTTCTGGTGGATACTACTGCTGCCGCTACTTCTGCCACCACTACCATTGCTTCAGGTGGACATTACTGCTGCTGCTACTTCTACCACCACTACCATTGCTTCTGGTGTATGCTACTACTGCAGCTACTACTAATACTGCTATTACTACTTCTGACACGACTACTATTGCCATTGCTGCTGATGATACAAAAACTACTACTACTACTGCTGCTGCTGCTGCTTCTACTACTACTAATGCTGCTGTTACTACTAGCACCACTACTAATGGTCCTGGTGGCTTCTACTACTGCTGCTAATACTAATACTATTTCTACAACTAAAGCTGCAGCTACTTTTGCTACTATTAATACTACTGCCTTTTCTACAACATTTGTTTCTTTTTGGTTTTTTTGTCTTTTCTTTTCTTCATCACCTCACTGTCTTCTCCTCATTTGCCTCCTCTTCTTCATACTACTTAACTTCCTCCTTCTATATACTACTCTTCCTCATCGTCGTACTTCTCCTCCTGTTTCGTTGTCTTTTGTTTCTCCTTCTCATCCTCCTTCTACCTAATTCCCAATGCCACATCGACCCGTCCTTCAAAGTTGTCCAGTCCATGGCTGGCTTGTCGTGTCGCCACACAGCTTCTCCCTCAGACAAATTGAAAAGGTCATTCTATCACCCGGTTTCTCTCACAGAACTGCCTGTTTCAGGAGATATATAAATAAAAGTAAAATGTGCAAACCCACTAAAGATAAAACGAATGGATAAAACAAATGGCTTAATCTCTCTGCTGTGTATAGTGGCGCTCACTGAAACTATATCTAATAATAATATCTGAAATCCAGCATTCTTTTAGCTGCACTAGGGGAAGCCTTACTGATATGTCGTATTTATACCATTTCCCAGGCTTCAGTGCGTACTGGGCTTATAGGGCTCGATCTATACTTTATAGACCAATAGGCATTCTATGGGTGATGTGAATATCATCACTCCAGCCGTCGTTAGTTAAAAAAAAACGTGATACCTATTTAAAGCTGCGTTGAACTGCGAGTCTTGTGAAATATTTTTTTTTTAAAGTTCAGGATCTGAGCCCACGACTTTCCGATCCGCAGCCGAGTCTCTAACCGTTACACTACAGCAGTCCTGATATATTGCATACATATGCTATTAACAGACGTTGCATTAATGAACGCAAAAACCAGAAACATAACTGTCTTTTTAAAATGTGCAGGAAACTACTCAGAAAGAAGGGTTCATAATCTGGGCGCTGGGGCTTTTCTAAGATCCTCCTCCTCATCCACCTCCCTCCCCCCACAAGGAAATCTGCGAGTATTTAAGTGGTCCTCCCCATCCATCAATAGCAATTCTCGTTTCGAGTTTTAGTTTACACACTGCATATTATTTCAATTGTATTGTTATATTTATGCATCATTTGGCCCACTTTTATTAGACACTGGAACAAGGCTACTATTACAACATTCCCACAACTACTATATTTCCTACAACTACCACAACCAAGAATACTAAATTTCAAATGGTCAGATTTCCGAACCAATGCACAAATAAGGCAAGAATCCAGGCAAGAGTATGTGTCTAATTTTATACGAAAACGCCGCTGGAACTATGTCGGCCACGCCCTTAGAATGGATAAATCAAAACTTCCTTACCAAGCCCTCATTTGGACACCACAGGGGAAAAGATCTCGTGGAAGACCAAGGGAAACCCTACGTAGAACTATCATCAGGGAAGGCTCGCTCATGGGCCACTCAAACATCCAAGACCTACAACAGATTGCAACGAACCGCCATGCATGGAGAGTCATGACCTCTGCCCTATGTGCCGCACTCGACACAAGAGGAAAGACTAACTAACTAACCACAACCAACACCAACACCGCTAATAATTCAGCCTAAAAAAGTAAAAGTCAAGAATCCTTCATGCCTACTGGGCATGTAGAGCTAGAAATATAGTGCTAGACCAATCAGACTCTGTGGGTAATGTGGTCAACATCATTTAGCTCTGTAATATTTTATTATGGTACTACTTCTTCGTCTTTTTTTTTCTTTTTTTTCGTTTTATTCAATATCATCTTTTTGTTAAGATCTTACTCCTATGTTTTCCCTAAGTTTTACTTTTTGTGCGAACAAACATAAGAGTCAGACAAAACACTTCCAAGAACAGTACCTTATTGTACAATGTTTCTCAAGCCCTGGAACAAGAACAATGTACGGAAGTCCGGAACAACCAATACATTCCGCCAGCGTTTACAGCCGGTTATCCTTAAGAAGAAGAGGAGGTGGAGGAGGAGGAGGAAGAAGAAGAAGAAAAAGAAGAAGCAGAAGAAGAAGAAGAATAGGAAGAAGAAGAAGAAGAAGGAGGAGGAGCAGCAGCAGCAGCAGCAGAAGAAGAAAAACATGAAGAAGAAGAAGAAGAAGAAGAAGAAGAAGAAGAAGAAGAAGAAGAAGAAGAAGAAGAAGAAGAAGAAGAAGAAGAAGAAGAAGAAGAAGAAGAAGAAGAAGAAGAAGAAGAAGAAGAAGAAGAAGAAGAAGAAGAAGAAGAAGAAGATGATGATGATGATGATGATGAAGACGAAGAAGAAGAAGAAGAAGAAGAAGAAGAAGAAGAAGAAGAAGAAGAAGAAGAAGAAGAAGAAGAAGAAGAAGAAGAAGAAGAAGAAGAAGAAGAAGAAGAAGAAGAAGAAGAAGAAGAAGAAGAAGAAGAAGAAGAAGAAGAAGAAGAAGAAGAAGAAGAAGAAGAAGAAGAAGAAGAAGAAGAAGAAGAAGAAGAAGAAGAAGAAGAAGAAGAAGAAGAAGAAGAAGAAGAAGAAGAAGAAGAAGAAGAAGAAGAAGAAGAAGAAGAAGAAGAAGAAGAAGAAGAAGAAGAAGAAGAAGAAGAAGAAGAAGAAGAAGAAGAAGAGGAATAAGAAGAAGAAGAAGAAGAAAGAGAAGAAAAAGAAGAAGCAGAAGACGAAGAAGAAAAAGAAGAATAGAAGAAGAAAAAGAGTAAGAAGAAGAGGAAGATATTCAGCCACAATTAATAAATACAAGTGGAAAACGTACCTGTGAATGGCCTGCAAGAATTTCCGCTGGTGTGTCCGGACTTTGCTTACATTGACTTTCTTGACAAGCTTGGTATATCGGTATATCAACCATGTCTCTCGTAGAACATTCGCTGCAGCGTTCTTTAA